ATTGATATTGAGTTTTTTCATAATTGAAGTCGTAATAGAAGGGCAATCATCCTTTTTTGAATTGTTATGCTGTGGAAAAATACTATGTGCTTATTAATTTTTCAGATTAAAATGCGTCGAGCCCGAAGTAATGAAAAAGTTTCAAAGTCTTTGATAAAACGAATTACATTATATAGCATATCGTAGATAATATTTTAATGCTTGAAGTCGGAGAAGTGACGATGTGTGTTTAATGATGGCAATTCTACTTTTTGCGAAAGAGTTTACAACAACATGCTTCAGGTTTTGACAAGTTTTTGAATCATATTTTTAAGCTCCTGATTGTGAATAGTGGCATTTCTGCAGCTCTGCTGTTGCCTCTCAGTGAGCTGAAGTTAAAAAGTGTTATCGCTAGTTAGCAACCTCTTGCTCGAAATTATAGGTAACATGTTCTAGCCTTTAAAACTCTTGAGCGACAGCCGTCATTAAAAAATATTATAGAAGTAATATACAAATTATTATTATTTGCTTCATGCGCTCAATAATTGCAACATTTTGCTTAAATAAAGGTCAGAAGCATACGAGTAATTAACCTTTGCTTTCAATAAAAACAATATTTGACATTTTCACCGCAATAATGACACTATATTATGCTGAATTGAATAGAAAAAACAATTAAATATTTCTAGGAGTTTATTGAAGTATATAAGTATATCAAAGCGACATACTCTTCATTTAATTACATTTGCAGGAATTTTTCCACACTCATACTAAGCTTAATTAAAGTTATTAAAGCAAATATTTGAAACTGTATGTAATGCGAACTGTAAAATAACGGTACGGTGATAAACCTGTCATGTTAATATATGTAATTTTGAGTGTAAATGTGCGATATATATGTATGTGTGTGTTACTCTTGGTGCATTATTTTCCTTTTCGATTTTTACGATTTTTATTGGAATTATGGCTGTTTGCCTACCAGGGAGCGCAGCCCTTAAAGTCGAAGTACAAAATATTCAAAATTTAATTAAAATAGCAAAACACACAAATACTACACGCTCATCCACCTTTTCGACACCAACTCTGCGGACAAGTTTGTCAAGCGGAAAATTTTATGTAGGTGTAAATTAAGCAAGCTATTGTATATGTCTTTATGTCAACGTGTAGTAATTCCTAAATGATGGGGTTGTACTTTTTAAATACTGAATTTAATTACGTGCTGAGATTATATAACAATAACAAAACATCACAGCATGGTAATCAGCCTTTCCTATAAAGATCTCCGTCCCTTATTTGGGAAAAATATTTAATTTAGCATAATGTAACTTTTAATTACAACCTTTTCTATAGTTTACCTATTTTAATATAATATAAATTACTACGTTATTCATTGGTTGAAAGCTGAAGAAATCCATGTTGCGCAATGACACAGCAAGCTGCCTGTGCAAATATGGTAAACCAGAAGTGTGCTAGCCGAAAATGACTTCCCGTTATTTGAATGTGTATGCTAGGTAAATATGCGTCACGTGCCACGCTACGTTGGATGGAGCCGAAAGTGTAAGCTATTTATACAGACTTAATGTTACAAGTCAGGGAATTACAATGTCTTATAAACAAGAAAAACATAAAGTTATGCTTTAAAGGATAACTTTTATGCGCAAACGGAGCCGATTTTGTTTTTTTTTTTGTCCACTTTAACTAGCAGTACAGATTGAAAGGCATTTAAGAGCTCACAGCGTACTTTTGTTCGTTGAAACGTGCATTTCAGTTGGCTGTAGAAGGCTACGCTTGGTAAAAATAAAATTTGACAGAAAATAAAAATAAAAGGTTGCCTTTTTAAAACGGGATTCTGAAATGACCTTTTGGCATACATAAATATGTGTAACTTTTCTTTGCTATTTGATAAGTCTGAAAACAAAAGTTATTACTGAAACAATTACTCCGTTCTCTTATACTATATTGCTGTAAAACCTATTTTGCTTTTAATTCCATAAAATTAATGAAAACTTGATTATTAAAGTTACAGTACTAAGCCAAATAAGCTATACTTAATTTCCACATTTATTTACGTTATTATTTGAAAATATACACAATTATTCCAAATGTTTGCGGTAGTGGGAGTGTTAAATACTTGAAATATTTTAATTTGTGTCATTTAAAGTATAATTTAGAACAGTGTGGCTTATCCATTGAATATATTAAAATAAGTACAATATAAAAGCTGAAGACCGATATGCCTGACGTATAAAGAAGGATTACTTTAAATATTCAAATAGAAAAGGAAAGAGCTGCATTACGAAACCCAAGGCTACTTGCCAATTGAGGAAATATTATACTATGAATACAAATTTTTATTTGCACGCATGAAGTGTGTCCCTTAATTAACTTGTACCATAGACAGGAATAGACCGCAAGATTTATACTCTTCTTTTACCTTTTCACCCACTTCCTGTTTCACATATAACTGCACGCTTTTCTCATTACCTCCATGCCTAGTCTGCAACCATTTTATGCGTGCTAATTTATTACCTGTCATCATTGGACAAATGAATCGCTGCAGGAAAAGAAATGCACTCTAAGCATCTAGACCGGTCTATAAAGAGCACTATATTCTGGTGCCATCTGCATTAGGATAGCATCTATCTAGATGCATACATATGTGTCAGTGGAAAGAGACGTAACCGTAAATTTATAACGTCGAAATGGCGAAAACGAAAACAGAAATACTGAAACAGAAACATTAATTTGCGCCTATTGGCAAACACACACCGATCCACATATTTGAGTTTGCCTATTTGAAGTCTACGAAAGATGCGAATTCACTGTTAGTTGCTGGAAGCTCTAGTAAAGCTCGGCATGCGCCAATAATAAACTTTACGCAGTTACAAAAGGGACAAGGCTCAAAAGGGGGAAGGCTCTAACAGAAGCGGGAGTTACAGCTGAATGGCGTGAAACATAATTTGTCGTGCGCGATTAGGGAGCTCTACTGTGCGTATACGAACAGTAAATCATCGTATAATAAGAGATTGAGGACATGGAGAAAATGAAAATGAAAGGCAGTGGATGCTAAATGAGCAGCAATTTGCACATTTTAGAGAGAAATAGGTTGTGTTGTTTTCTTTCCAATTATTTAGTCAAAGATCTTTATGATCTGTTTGGATTTTTTTGCTATCTGCTACATATACGAATTTGCCCCTGCTCTCTCCACTTATTGTTGTTTTTCAGTTTTTTTATGTATTCTGCACAGCAGCATTCCGATACAAAACGCTTAAACGGTAAAGAGCTATTCAGGCAAAAACAACAATTTATTTTCCATAATTTTTTCTTTTTCAAATTTCACATAAAAGAATATGTATTTTTAATATCATTCTGCTTCGTTTAAAATATACATTATTCAATCCGACATCTACATACTTATAAATATATCCCGTAAATTTGTTTGCATTCGTTTAAATTTCACATTTTTACAACTCAATTTACGGTAACCCAACAATCGCGCTATACATTAACACCATTCAAATTTTTAACATAATATTAAAAAAAACAATTTTTCTTAACAACTAAATCCTCAACTCAACATATCATCATAATCATCACCATCATCAACAATGCCACCATGCAGCCTTTCATAAAATCCTAAACGAATTTCCGCTTTTGCTCATACATTTTTATAACATCGCCATAGTAAATATTGACGAGGGTCTTTTGCTGTTATTGTGAATATGAGTGTGTTCCCTACAAGTGACATTATCAGGTTATTGGTTAACGTTATGTACGCCGTGTTGTTCAAAATGCCACCTTCCACCGCCTTCATCACATTTTACTTGATATAGTTTTTGTTTCGCTATAATTTTATTTTTTAAATATGTATTTATTTTTGCAAAACCTTTTACTAATAAATCAAGGATAGTGATCAAAATTTCCAAATAAAAAACATACATCATAAAGTTATAACAGTATATCAAATTAATTTTAAAAAATAAATACGGAAAAATGCAACTTTGTGTTGTTGGTTTTTGCCCGCCAAAACATAGCTGTCGGAAATTGTGTGAATTGTTGCCGGAACGTGCAAATATTTTACAATTTTTTACTTTACTGTACTATTTGGATTATGTTTTATTTCCTCCTCTCTCTATCATTGCACTGCCGTTTGAGTCATAATTAATGCGAGCTCATTAAATTTTTATGGTTCCGAAAAATACGGCTGTCAGCGGTTGCACAGCTCGCTGTTCTTGCTATTGTTGCTATTGTTAGATGAGTCTGTTATTTACGTTTTGCACGAGTTTCGATCGTATTTCTCAATTCATTTGTTTACATTTCGCCAGCCTTCCACCGGCTGGATTTAATGTCTACCCGCCATTTGCTCGTTTGCCAGTTGTTCTTCAATTGCTCTTTCGCAATATTCATTAAAAATGGTTTATTGGTTTCAGTTGAGGAGCAGCAGTGTTGAAAATCATTTTAATCATTACTTAATTGTTTACAAATGATGCTTAACAGATCATTTAGTTATAAACAAAATTCAAACAGTGTCTTTTATTATGTTCAAAAAAAAGCACATTACTTCTCCTCCAAGGTATGTTAAATACATGATATTTGATATACTATAGAACTCCTACATTAACTATAAAAAGGGTTGATTCTAATGTACTCGGGTAAACCTGATGAGTTTTCCTGTGTGGTGGTGAAATTTTGATGGAAATCGACATACAAGTATATGGTTGGTGGCAAATTATGTGTGACTGCTGTGGCTTGTGTGGCCACTCAGATCTCCAGATTTGACTTTCAACTATCTAAAGGTTGTTAAAAACAAATTTTTATTCAACATCTTCCATATTTATTATTATCTTTTAATTAATTAAGATACCTCTAATGTATAGTTTAAAGCATTCGCTCCTCAAATATAATATTTTTTTCTCAAATTTTTTATTTATAATACGCAATCATTTTTAACTTATTGCTTTGAAACTGTTTAATTAGCTTCATACTTATTTCATTTGATACGTTTTGTGTTCCCTTTTCAGGTTCCACCTGCGGCACTGAACAATTCAGATGCAACAATGGTTTCTGTATCCCCAAGAGATGGCGCTGCGATCAAGAGAGCGATTGCGCCGATCGCTCCGATGAGGCTACGTCGCTATGCAGTAAGTTTTGCGCTTTTTGCTCATAAAAAATATAAACATACTACACACACATGCGTGATAAAGGGACGCCACAAAATTATAAAGGCATTTAATAAGGATAATGATAAGACACGCTATTTTGGCACAAAATTTCTAATTTCGACTTGTACAACTTTTAGATCACGCACGAAAATCTTAACTCAATATAGAATACACTATTAGTCACTTAAGCTAGAAACCATGGACTCTAATACATTATTACCTAATTCACAGTGAATTTCTGCACACCGACCGAGGTGAAGTGCAAGAATGCCGAACAATGCATACCACGCTCTTGGGTATGCGATGGCAGTCCTGATTGCCGTGACCAATCCGATGAAGCTGATTGCAGTAAGCAATTACATACAAACTTTCAAAACTAATATGAAAGAGATTTAATAGAATTTGACTTAACAATACTAACAGCAAATAAACAATGTAATTTAATGGAGGATTTTTATATTGCAAGAGAGCATGATATACCTACTACTACTACTACTACTAACAAGAATCATATATGAGTATAAGCTTATGAAGAAAATATAAGTAAATTTCTAGGACATATGCAAAATATTCAAAGTCAGTACACCATTAACTAAGCATTAAACATTTCATCTTCGAACTACTCTTTACATATTCATCTAATGTCAATTAGCGTTTGTAGTTTATTAAGCAGCCCACTGTATCTGCTTTGGAGTTTAAGAATAGAACAGAAAATAAATTATTCGCGCAATTCATGATAATTTCAAATCAACATGGAAAATATTTAACCGAGTGTAACCGCATGTACCGAAACCTCGGGACGCACCTCATAAAGCGCGCAGCAGCGAACCGCTGACACAAGCCATAGTAACTGCGCATTAGAAAGTAGGCTCCCTTGAGAGTTCAGTGCGTAGCTCCAAATCTCACGTCTAGCAACGCTGCACACGGCCGCCGGGTATTTGCGTCATATCACGCCGTCTCACTCGCGTGAATATAATGCACGCGTGCCTAATTTGTATTTATTGTTATATAAAAGTGGCGGCGCTGTAACTTAATAAGCACCCGTAGTTGGTCTAACCCACGTAACTGTGTGTGAGTAAGAGCATTGTAATGCGAGTTATGCAGCGGTTGCGCATGTGTGTGCATGTACGCGTTTTTGTTAGCTCATTTGCTCGTGCTTTCAATGCGGCTATATGATTTTATCATTTCTTCTTGTCATCTTCCAGTAATACATACTTATCTGCCATTGTTGTAGCCTTTTATTATATTCACTTACAACTCTTGTAACACGGAGTTCACTGTTTGCTCCCATTTAGTCATGAGCATCGGCGGGATTTTGCTTGTTGAGGCTGAAAAAAATAAATTCAGAAACAAAGATTTGGGATACAATAGAAAATAGAAATAAATAAATCGAAAAAAATATATTTTTTTTCTGTGGTGGTTTCAGTAACTTAACAACTTAACTTTAACGGTGATTATACTTATATGAAATATAAGAGACCAAATCGAATATTTAAGATGAAAGCTTTGCTCAAAACTCGCCACTAATGCACGAGCAACTGCCAACCACCTCTCAAGTGATGTTGCTGCCACAAATTGGATGCGCACAGTATTGTTATCCCATCTAAGCGCGGGGCATAGCTTTTTTTTATTTTCCCACAAAAAATCCATTTAAAATGCGCATATCATTTGATGAAAAGCAGAATTTTCTCTACAAACCGAAATCCGACCGCTTTTAGCACACATAATGCAGGACTAAGTATGATAATAAGCATGTGCACATGAAAGCAAGAACAAACGAATACAAAAGAAAAATTTAACGAGGGTTTTAGCGAGAAGCATACCAGCAGGAGTGGCAGAAAACGCAAAATGTTGTGCGGACCAAATATTGTTGCCCACCATTAGCTGAGATAATGGAATATTATGTTAATCATAAGCATTTATGCGCCTAGTTAGTATACAATTCATATAACGGTATAATAAAAGCAGAAGCAATTGATGATAAGAATACTCATATGCGTGGTAGTAGACAAAAAGACGCCGTGAATAAATGTGGAAGCAATATGTAATCTTATGTAATTGCTTCCAAACCTGCAGCTTGCTCTACAGCAAAATAAAAATTGACTTACTTTCGTGACGCAGGCGCATTCAGCACATATGTTAGTGAATACAGTAATACAGTAATTATTAATACGAAGCGCCAATTTAAAAATACTAATTACGAATATATGTCAGTGCTTAACAAAACATTTTACAACTTTTCCTAACTAATTTTTAATTAATTTGATAAAAAAGTAACGGCGGCTTTCAAGCATTTTTAACGCAAAATTTGTGTGTTTTAAATTATACTATATATATGTACATATCGTCACTTAAAATGCAAAATAACTTAACATCAGTTTTAACAAGTTTACTGGAGAAGGAATAAACGATATCAAGTACAAGCTACTCATACTGAAACAAAATTGGATTATTGGTTAGAATTTGGACTCATCCGGTAGCTGAAGCTTAAAATTGTATTCCTATATATAATATGATATAATACATAGTAATCAATAAAAAACTGAATTTCGAATATATTGATGTTACTTTGATTTGCATATTAGTAGGCGATATATCCGCTACCAAATTACTCATACGCCGTGTCCCTTTCACTTCTTCATTTTTTTTGTTACTACTACTGCATTAATAAACGTGGAAATTTTTACAAAATAAAATTTTCACAAAAATACACTTTTCCCGCAAATAGCATTTATTTCAAATTATTTTATTCAATTTTCGCTGTAATTATATATTGTCATTCGCCCTTAGTTTCCCGAATGCTAGCAATTTTTTTCGTTTGTAATTTTAATTAAGGTGGCCGCACATGTTGTTTGGCAAAGGTGCACTTGATCGCACAGTTATTTTCAGGAATTTTGTGGGAGAATTTTCTGTATATTTGTAAATATTTGATTTAATAATAATTTTAGTGACAGGAATATTCACTATTATACCTAGTAAATTGTATAGACATAAATATTGCTATTTAAGAATGAAAGACACATAAATTATTGTACTTCACATAATAATTCTCCACCGTTGTAGCGAAAGTAATAGTTTAATGCAAGCCCTCTTAGACTTTTCGATTTTCCAGCACTCATATTGGAAAATAGATCTCCTATTTCTTTATATATCTGCAAAAATTCATGGCCTTGAAGACTCTTCCAAAACTCAGTGGAAATTATTTGTACTCTTAAAAGAGATTTAGCATTGAGTTTAAGGCTAAAGAGCCTAGAATGGTAATGATGATGTTTCTTCCACACACAAGAAACAAAAACTTTTTTAGAAGCTGTGGATCATGTATTAACAAGGTAGAACACAGTTGCATGCGAGGTCACCAAAAGGGGCACCAAAATAAATTAAAAGACTAAATTTTAGTGAGTCAACTACAATGCAACCGAGGTAAGGAAAGAAATATCCTAAGCAGCCATCCACTTTGATACTCATTACATGTAAGCACTAAAGGAGGAAGACCGCAAAAGCATCGCCGTTACAAAGCTTCTAAAATGTTAAATTGCTAATCGCCTTTTTTCATTTTCGTGTTTTTTTTTTTTTTACAAATTTTCAACACTTCAACTGTATCCATAATTATAGTTGACTTCGTCTGCGCATGGAATTTTTATTGCCTTGCGGGATAAGCCTAATCTTCACATAAATTCCGCCCCATAAACATTTCGCTTTCGTTCATATTGCGGGTTTCCTACAATTCTAATCGCAATCGCCTGCTTATTGCCCATTGTAGGCGTCAAATGATTACATTTTACTTGTGTATGTGTGTTTATGCATCCTTCAGTACGGGGTATGTTACATATATGAAAAGTGTGTTTGTGTAAGTTGTGTGACTTTTTAATAATGTCTAGACGTGCGCCCATTTAATTTCAAGGTTAACTCTGCTCTTTCAACAATAAGCAACAGCTGAGCATTTTGTCAGTCTCAGCAAGTTTCAAACAGCATTCCCTTTTGCAGCGTTTACATTCTGCGCACCGCTGCCTATGAGTGATGTTTGCACTTTTGTATGTGTGGTTACTTAGAAATTTCTATGATGGATAATATATATGTTTGCATGCTTTTCCTTTTTCTGTCTTAAAGCGTTAACGTTTTGTTCGCGCTCAAGACTTCGCACATGCCGTGTTCGTTGGTGGCGGTTTAGTATTTCGCGCACCAACAAACTGCTCACTGCTAATTAAATCTGAGCACGCTCATATGTGCGCTACTTCCAACAAAGACATAATTAGATTGCATCCCATAAATATATATACGCGTTTGTTTGTGTATGTACTTGTGTATTTTGTATGGTAGATGCGTCGTCTTGTTAGACTTTATGTTCATGGACTTTATTCGTATAGTGTTGAAAAAATCTCTGCTAAACACAATCACAACAACATTACTTGAACGGCACGCCATTTACTTATTTGTTGACGTTTTTTTGTCTACACCCCCAGACATGCGTTGGAATATCCGTAAATAGGTGGCAGTTTGTTTGCTTGTATTTCCTGTAAACTTATCATGTTCGCACACAAAATATAAACGAAAACACACACCGTCAACTGTGGCGCCTGGCATGGCCCCAAGTGCGATGCGTGGGTCCCACATACAAGTATATATGTGTGGCCATGTGTGCGGCTTTTCAACGCAACTACTCATCGTGGTTTTTGCTAGCAATTGGCTTACTCGATGTTTCCAACGTAATATGAGACGCTGCTACCAGGCTTTTATAGTTGCCCCGGCTTCACCAACACTTCGCTGTTTATTTTATTTATAAAACATATATTTTTTTTGCTGATCTTTTTGCTTTGCGTTTATTATTTTTTAACGTTAGGTACTTTTCAGCTTAAACGTGGCGTATATTTCAGTGTCAATGTTAGCATTTGAGCTGTCGCGTAACAAGAGCTTATAAGCTGGAGTGTACAAACGGCACTTTGTATTGATATTGTTGCTGTTTATGTTGTGAATTTCAATGCTTCCATTTTAGCTTTAGTAAGCAAAAAATGCGATTTTCTGCCTTACTCAGTGTATTGACTATGAAATTTTTCACAGTTACTGTATATGAAATAGCGGCGCCTCTTCTTCTACTTACGATACGCGATTTGATATTATCCCTAATAGAAGATTCTGATTTTATAGTAAAATCAAGCAACACAAAGCATATTTCGTAAGGAAATATTTATTGTCAAGAAACGGAAGTAGGGTTCTAACTTCACCCCCCCAAAAATAACCAAAATTCTTAGTAATTATATTTGTATCACCAGTATGAGCGAAATACCCTTAGTGTTAATGGTTATAATGTGAGGCTAGGTGGGGAAAAGTTTAAAAAAAAGCTATAGAAATAA